ACATTGGCAGCCTGGAATCTGGAGCACAGGTTAGAGAGGAAGGGGAAGGGGGAAGGAAAATTACAGCAAATGCATTTCATAATACTAAGTCCCAAACAAAAGTCATACCTAATGACAGAAAATGGCTAACTACATTTACTTTAAGTGGGTTACAAGAAAAGGAAGGTTAGATATTTTCTGGAAAGAGGTAATATATTGCTCATGCTACTCTGCTACATTTCGTCCTTGACATTGGCCAGAAATGTATTTTACAGTTATTTTGTAAATCACTGGATAAACTACTTTTATACTGAGAACAATGCCAAGCATTCTGGAGAAAATGGTAACAGGATTTAGTGAGAATTGTTTAGGTTATCTTATATTTTCATTATTTCTGTGGTTTTTAGGTTTTTTTTAATAATCAAACTATGCCTCCATGTTGAAGACATGGGTCACAGAGACAAATGTGAATATGGTATTTAATTGCAAATCCCGTACTACAATTTCTAGCTTCAGGCATGAACATATCTACTTTCATTCAAAGTAAATCAAGTCCCAAGGAATTTGGAATACAGTTAAGCCCTCAAAATCATCAATGTCAATGTGACCTGCCAAAAGACATTAACTCTGCAATTATTCTGTTAGCTGGGAAAAATACTTGTGGGTAGAGGATCAACATTAAATTAAAAGGCTTCTACAAAAATATTGCAAAGAATGACCAGTCTGAGCACCTTTGCTCAGGTTGGTTGGAGTCTAAAAAGTGCAGATGTCTTTCCACACTTGAAACTAAATTTTGCACCTATGAAAGAATGTATAAATGTACAAGAATCTTGTAAAAGCCTAGGAGAATAGCAGCCATCCTTTCTTTGCCATGAAGTGTTTGTTTCAACATATAATTTCCATCTACATTACTTAAACCACTTACTTGGCTCAAGAGCAGTTTACTTCTGACTGCTGTTGCTGGTAGGATACATGATTTGCAATGCTGAGTATGGTGTTTTTCCATCACAAACATTTATTCATTAATAATTTATTGGATAAATGGCTTCTGATTGAACAATTTAAAAAATGCAGGCAAATCAATGGCAAAAGACACCAAGCAGCATATTATAATGATACAATAATTCGAGCTCATACATTAGAGTGAATTGATAGTGTCCCAAAAGCCCTCTTTTGATAGCTCAGTTTCAGAGAGTAAATGTTCAGCTGAAATAACTAATAAAACATCTCAACTACTGCTCTGAGAAATCATGCCAGTATCATGTACAGTATCTTTGAGAGCTAATAAGTTGGCTCAGGAAAGCAAGCAAACAAACAAACACTAGAAAATGCCTCTGTAAAGCTGTAAGCTCCCACTGGGGGGATATTAATAGTCACATGAAGAAGACAATGAACTTGTCTCAGTTGTGTGAATGAGACTTTGAAAATCATAATGGTCTGATTCTTTGATGCAAGTGATATTTAGAGATATAGATTGCAGCATTAGATCCAAACACTGCTTGTTATCACTCCTATGTGCAACAGAGACAGTGAGGGAAGCAAAGGTGATAAATCCCTTAAGAGAAAGCTCTCAAGGGTTCCTAATGTATCATGAATACATATCCTGCTCTGAGTTACAGGATTTTCAGTTGAGTTGTTCACAAGGAAAATAAAATGCATTCTAAGGGCTGTGCCATGGCAATCATCACCACCTCTGAGGTTCCAGAGAAAAGAAGGGAGATCTGAAAACGTTTCTGGAGAAAAGCTGCGTATAAATATTTTCCCTCTTTCCAAGGTATATTGCATGAATTAAATTTCTTAAATCTTTCCATGGCAGTAGTCAAGCTCCCTGAGAATAATATTGTTAAAATCCTATCATTTTACAGGCATTCTGTATTTGCAGAAAGGACTGTTTTACCATCAGGCTTGAGGAGACTAGTCAATAATGTGTTGACAGTATGTAGATTTATTTATAAAATGGATACTGTTTATATTCTACAAGGAATAGATTGTTTTCAAACATAGATGGAATTTATCTTCCATTATTTGATGAAGACTTATTAATTATATACAATAAATTTCAGGAATCACAGCTCTACCAATAAAAGCCACAATTCAATGTGGAATATGTGTGAACATCAATTTATGTAGTTTTATATAAATGATCACAAATATAATCAGTTTATTTATTGTAAACAGTTTAAATGAATACATATGAGGTAAAAAATAAAATTAAATGGGGTAATAATTATTTTTTTCTGATTTGATTTTTAATCCACCTGTTTCTGTTTGTGCTAATGTGAACACAGAGCATCTTGTTTAGTGACTATCTATTTTCAATGTTTATCCACTCAACCTAAGAGTCTTTTTCCATGCCAAAATAAGACTTGCTGAAGATGATGTTTGTATATTTTAAATAATGGACTTGAGTTGGTTTACATATTTCCTTTTCTGAATCTGTTAGCTGCAGGGGATTTTTGAAAAATTACATCCTGCAAGAAATATTATAAAAACAGATGACAAGAGAAGAGTCTCCTGATAAAGGAAGAAATTTAAAAGAAATTTTCAATTATTTTATTTTGATTTGGTTTTCAAAACTTTTTTCTAGTCTAGAAAATAGCAAACAGCTAAACACTTGGACATTGTAAGTGACCTTCTCTTTATACACATGAAAATTACTCTTCCTCAAATCATACACAAAATTTGGTCATCACAGTGCCAACACCGTGTCCATTTCAATGAAAAATAAAATGAGTTAGATTAAACCATGAGAGCTGAATCACTTAACACTTCTACAGAGTCAGACAGAAGGCATTAGCTCTCAAAGTGTCAAGGCTACTCTGGAAGGTTCAAATCACCATCAGAGTTACTCCCTACAAAAATAATGAATTTGCAAGAGTGCCATTAGAATAGATACAGACAGTCATAATTGTGTGACTGAGGAAAAAGAAAAAGAAAATAAAATCAATGATCAATCACTTGCACATATTTTCATTTTCAGGCTTCCCCTGACTTCCCTCTGCTCCATAAAAATAATTTTCAGAAAACCCCCAAATATCTGAGCCTATGGCATCTGTTCAACCTTGATAATCAGACTGCCCCAACTTTTAAAAGGCCAGAGCTTCTAATGTATGAGTCTTGGGGATAAATCTTTCTGACAGACAGCCTTGGGGCAATAGTGTTGGGAAGCCCTCCAGCACAGTCCTTCAGAGATGATCGTACATAGTCCAGGAGCTCTTGATGGAGTCTGGGAGGAATTTCTACAGATTGCTTTTTCCACCTGCTGCATGAATATGAAGCATAGTTGCCCTCAAGGAAACAACCCTCCATTCTTGCAAATTTTGACATGCCACATATTACCTTTTCAGCTGTTATTCAAAATGTTTTAAAGATGTGTAAAGCCATGGCAAGTCTCAGTGGCCACCATACCACTGTGTTTGTCATCAGCTTTTCAGTTCCAATCTAGTTCCACTTTTGGTTGCATGATAGAATGAATTTCAAGCAGCTCAATGGTTTGCCACTGAAAAGGTGAATACTAGCAACCTGCATTTTTAAAAATATATGTTCTTCCTTTTGAAGCCAAGTTTCAGTGTGATAAAACATGGCTGAGAAAATTTGCATCAAGAAAATAAAAGTTGGCAAACACTGTGCTAGTGTGTCCACATTTCAAAATAAGCACAAATCTCCTCTTTTTCCTCTATTTAACTGTCAGGCAAAAGGTAAGATCAGCATTCCACACTGAGTAATGTGTTACTATGGTGTAACCTAGTGCAGTGAGTCTACACTGAGAAATTTATAACAAGTCAAAAAATTATCAGACTAAAATTACATTAAAAAAAGGTGTGAAATGTGCAGTAAATCTCTTGAGGCAGTAGTCTTAAATAACAAGTCCATGTTGCAATAAATATTTCATAAGAAAAACAAGTATAAAATAATAATGAACAAATAGTCTCAAAGTACCCTAAAACAGGGGTATGCACAGCACACAAAATCCCATTTATACCTGAGTACAGTTCAAAGTACCACAAAAGTGCATGTATTTTCCTATAACTCACTATATTTCATATGTACAATAAATATGTACAATACACACTTTACGTGGGTTCTTGTGCATGAGCTCTGCTACAATTATTCAATACAAATTGCTACCTGTGACAAGAGTAGCTGCTTTACTGATGTAAATCCAGCACATTAGCACAACTGTACAGACAGCTACAGCAGTGGAAACTGTCACATGATCTACAGAAATAGGTCAACTTTATGAGGAAATCACTTGTTCCTGGAGGAAATAAATAATGAATTTCCACGTGGGGAGAGACCTCCTTGCAGAGGCAAGTCCAATGTGAATTGTCTTGGCAGAAAACCTGTTTTATCTGAGAGTCAGAAAAAGAAACAGCCAGTGGCCCAGCATCCCTGCCTGGGTGCAGAGAGATGCCTTTCATCACACTTACAGGAGGCACAGTGCAAAAGGGTACAAGGAGAGGATGGGGCTATGACAGCACTCATATCACAGCCCTGGCAGCAGGGGTATACTGCGCTCATTGGGAAGGGAAGGCTACAGCACATAGTGACCCTCAACAGCTTTGTGTGACAGTGAGAAAATGACAAGGGCCAGTGGGACTCACACATGCTCATCAGCACATTACAAACTGACAACCCTGTCCAAAGATTTTATGAATGCAGTTAAGGTACCCATATCTAAAAAGAAGACATTTGTTATGAATTTATTTCGCATAATATATGTATTTTTTTGTTCAAATATATTTAGATACATGTATTCATAACACAAATTATTTTGGGGCCAAAGGAAGTAGGTAAAATCA